AGCTGGCCACACACACACGCACACACACACACACATATAAATAAAATAAATTTTAAAAAAAATGATAAAAAAAAATGTAAATCACTAGTATTTTTCTGCCTTTGTGAGAAGTAGTTGTAAGTCAAGGTTCAGGCAGAGCCAACAGCATAAAAGGGACAGTGGTCCCCTCTTGGCCATGGTCGGTGTGTTCCGCACCCCAGTTGACACCTGACGCCTCTGTAGCCTTTCTGTACAGACCTGTGAAAGTTGAATTTTTATGTTAGGCACAGGCAGGACTAATCACATCTGGCCTAGTTGATGGGAGGTGTGGCTTGGTGGTGGAACACTTGCCCAGCATGCCTGAGGCCCTAGGGTCCATCCGTGTCACTGGGCAATAAAACACACTACTGGGCCAGTGAGATACCTCAGTGGACTAAGCACATGATTAGGTAAGCAGATTCAATCCCTAGCACCACATGCTGCACTGGCCCTGCCTCCAGGCCTGCTGGTGGCACATGCCTGTAATCCCAGCATTGGAGAGGCTAAAAACACTATTGAGTCCAAGCTGTGTAGTGAGACCCTATCAACCCTGTACTAAATACATTTTTTTAAAAAAGGGAACTTTCCAGAACCTGTGTCCTTCGCAATTCCCAGGCTCCAGGAGTGACTCAGTCACACCCTGCAACGGTGTTTCCCCACGTTGTGAACAGAATCGTTCACCTGTGGTGTAGGGTGCAGAAGCTCAGAGTGCCTGTGCACGTGCTGTAGGGAGGGGAGGAATGCTCTTCTCCACAGTCCTTAGCTAGGCAGTTTCTGAAATTTCAGTCACACTCAAACTCAAACTCCTTGGGAGTTTGCCAGTTCTGTAGGAAATGTTCAACAATTCCAAAGGAGACTGCTCTGTGCCCTCTTCAGCAAAGCAAGTCCTGATGGTGAGGTTCGGAAAATGTCACCACGCTAGCTCTGAATTAAGAGCTACTCAGCCATATTATCGTACAAGGCTCCTCTGGCCGCTCCTCCCCCTCCACCTCTGCCAGCCCCCCAGGCCAGCCGCACAGCACCGGGTGCAGCTGGAAATGGTGGCAGAGCGGCCTTGCTCCCAAAGCACTCTTCTCTCAGGCTGCTGCCGCTGCCGCTACCTCTGCTCCCATGCCCTTGGTATTCCATCTTTCTCATGCAGCCCACACTGAGATCCACAGCACTTTGTAAGAGTGGTATCAGCCAGCACAGAAGAAAAGCAAACACCCTTTCTGGGGCTACCCTGCTTCGGTCTGTTAAGCAGATCACCAGGGACTTGCCAGGAGCCTGTTAGCTGTTAGCACTCCCAGTGCAGTGCTAAGGGCTAGCAGTGCACGGATGGCTAACGACCCGTCTCTGCCTTCTTGGTGCTGGGACCTGGAAAAGGGAGGTAAATGCACAAGAAGAGACTAAGCTGAGAGGGAGGAAGCGTGTGGTGCCCTGTGTCCACAGCAGCGCTGGTGCAGTGTGGGGCTTGGGCTTATTTAGTGAGCAGATAGAAGCAGTTTTCCCAGCATGCCTTGGAATTGGGCATAGGAAGAGAGTGGAATTCCGGGAGGAAGTGCACTGTGCAAGAAGGGAAAGTGTGTCTGGGACATAGCTGAGCCCACCTGGTGTGTCTGACCATGTCGGAATGACTGCCACTTGGGCCAAACACAGTGAGACTTTGACTTAGCCTGTAGCTCCAGAGCAAAAAGACTAACTGTTCTCTTTTCCCCCTGCAGGAGCACAGGCGCACCGTCCCCCCTCTCCCCAGTGCCTTCTCCTGCCAGCTCTGCCGGGGCCCCACCAAGTGCTGGGGGCCTGGGGAGCAGCGGGGTGACCGCCACAGTCAGCACCCCTGTCACCATCCAGAACATGACCTCTTCCTACGTCACCATCACATCCCATGTCCTTACCGCCTTTGATCTCTGGGAACAGGCAGAAGCCCTCGCAAAGAAGAGCAAAGGTAGGCTCTGGCGGTGAGGTGATCACCAGGGTGCAGGTGTGGACGGGAGAACGCTATGTTTTGGATTGATGTTTCAGTCCCTCAGAGAACTAGGCAACATAGCTTTGAGTCCCTCCATCTCCGTTCTTCTCAGAACCTAGCTGCAGTTTTTTCCTTGAGCTCTGGTGAGATCTCTGAGAAGCAGAGTTAGAAGCAGCATTAGCCCCTTGCCCCTGCATAGGTCCTGCACCCTCAGCCTGAGCAGAACTGCGGGCAAACAGGCCAAGCAAGTGATGGCAGGGACTCACTGGCTGGTCCTAGGCAGTAGGAAGCAGCATAAACAAACCCAAGGCTGGGTGCATTTGTTTTCAATGCATGTTAAGAAAAGGTTAGCTGCAGGTGCACGAGATGCAGAGAGGAAACCCTGGGGGACACCCGTGGGTTCAGGGCAGCAGGGTATGCCGTCAGGGGAACTGCTGAAGTCCGTGCCAGTCACCACCGTGTAAATGCTTATGTGTGGAGTGCCCCAGGAAGGCCACTACATTTTTCTTTCTGGCTGTAGAAAGAATGCAGCCAGGTGACTGTGACCTCTAAACTTCCCACAGCCTCTCAGAGTGTTATCTCTCTTAGCAAACTAGTAAGGCTTGTAACATAGCTGGGGCTTTTTTTGTGTTTTGCTGTCCATCCATCTGTTGATCCACATGAATAAAAGTGCCAGGCACTGTGCTAGGCAGATTTTATGGATTATACTCTGAAGCAGATCTGGCCTCTGCCCATCTAGCATTCTGTCTTAGTGGAGGGACATGGATGGACAATTAGCTTGCAGTCATATGTGGGGGGGGTTTGAATTTTGGCTGTGCTAAGTTGAAATGCAGAATGGAGGGGACATGGCTTCTAAAAGCTTGGCATTTTCTGCTTCCATTTTAATTTTTATGTTCATGTGTATTTACTTGGTTTTTTTGCAGAATTCTTTGCTCAGCTCAGCACAAAAACATGCACCCTGGCCCTCAACAGCAGTTTGGCAGACCTGGTGCACTATGCGAGACAGGGCTTTCAGTGGCTGAAACAAGCAACCAAAACACCTTAACAGATGCCCAAGTTGGCTCAACGCCTTGGGAATTATTTTTGCACATTGGAAGCCTCGGAACCAGTCTGGACATTTGCCTCAAGGAGCTCTGTGGGATGATCCGGGAGCTTGTCTGCTTGCACCTCTGGCGAGCCATGTGGCCATCATGTGGACACTGAGGCTATGCAGAAGCAGGGACGGGTTCCACCTAGAGATGGCCCTGCTTTCCCCAGTTGCAAACAGAGGCGCAGCGCCGCCATCCAGGCACGCAGCTGGTCCGGGTCATTTCCCTGGGTCCTTGTTTGTTTGTTCTTTACCAGTGGGATGCAACTCTGTGAGCAAATCCACATCATCTCTGTAGTCACACTAGTCCACTCCCAGAAGGAAAAAAAAAATTAATATGATTTTTGGTGAAGGGTTTTGTGGTTGATTTCTTTTTTTTAAGTTTTGGGGAAGATTTGTTTAGTGAATTCTAAAGGCCATCTGAGGGTCACCATTGTAGCCTTTTCTGTCGGTAGGCAGTGGCTGTGATAATACGAAGTATTGTCATTCCTTATAAAATGCAAGGAAACCCCATTGCCTGATGGGCTGCACTCTCACCCCAGCTCAGAGGCCTCTGACTGCGCTGGGAGGTAGTGCATGGGCCAGCTTCAAATGCTTGTCCTCTGGGAACTTCACATTTCTGTCCCCTCCTAGCTTCCAGGACAAGGACTTGGTGACAAGGCAGTCACCCTGGACTATCTTCTGAATTTCCTGTCTTGGGGAAGAAGAGTCAACATGTATACCCGACTGGGTGGCTAAAGTGCTAAGTGTCAGCACCACTGGAACCAAGGTGCTGGCTGGTGACCTGCAGCGGTGTGGTAGCTTGTGTGTGACCAACTCTTGAGTTTTGTCAGTGAACAGAGGAAAATGAGATCTTCTTAAGAGAGGCTATATTTTTCTGCTACAAATTATTTTATATTTATGGCAAAGCTAAACTTTCTAAGCCTTTGATTGACTAGAGGACGTTAACTCCCTGAGAGGAAGTGGAGATTTGGGGGACTGAGTAGACTTTTTAAAAATCGTCACCACATGCCTTCACTGCAGCGTTCTCAGTGGCCCAGATGTGGGGAGCAGAAAAGGAACTGTGGCCTCCCAAGTTCTCGCCAGGCTGTCTGGACCAGACCAGCTCCTTCAGAATACTGGAATACAGGACATCCACATCAGGGTTCCCACATGCCCCCCACACAGGTTCTGTTCCTGGAGACTTTGAAGGTTCACATGGGAAATACTCTTCTGAGTGCAGTGTTTTTTAAAAAGCCAATTCTTTTTGACCCCTTTTAGAAAATAGGATTTGCTCATGTATTACATTTGAGTGTTATCTCTATAATTAATTGGTTAATTTACTCCCCCTTCACCTCATTCTGAGCCTCTGCACATTTCCTTCTAAGCATGTTTCATCGTTTTGTATTTATTTGTGAAGAAGGGAGAGCCACCTTTATTTATCATGAAGAGGTCTTCGGTGCCTGTGTTGAATGTGCAAGTCTGTTGTGTGGTGCCCGTGTGAAGGGCCAGGTAGAGGGTGGTTTGTTTCACATAGAGCTGTGCATGTGACATTGTCACCTGCCCTGGGTTAAAGCCATAAATGTCCAAACAGAAGGCCTTGATGTGCAATCCTGATGAAGCAGCTTCTGTGTGGTTGCTGTAATGCAAACTTGTGGTCTTTGTAAACTCTTAGCTTAAAAACCTTTTAGGTGAACAGTAATTGCTCAGCAGGTTGTTTGCGTGGTGTTGTGTATGTCTTGTGTGGCGGGGACACAGTGCCCAGATTCCCCATCTGCAGTCTGTTACCACTCTTTCGTTGCTCCCTTGGCTGTCCCCTCCCAGATGAGGACGTCCTCCCTCAGTAAGCTGCCTGTCACTCCCTCATACAGGGCGGCGCTCTGCAGACAGAGCACATGCCCTCCCGCAAGCCACCCTGTGCCCTGGCCCATGGCATTTCTCAGCAGCTCTCAAAAAACACATGGCTTTTTTCTTTGGCCTTATTCCTTATAGGATTTTTCTAAGCTGTATATTTTTATTGGTCCTTTAAAAAACTAACAGATCTGGCTGAGTCAGTCTGTACTGCTTTAGTCACTGTGCGATTCTGATTCTTGATTCCAACTCACTACACCTAAAGGGGAGCGGCTGGGGGTGCTTCACATCCGTTGGTGTTTTTGCCGTTGCAGCTGTATATACAAATCTGTATAGGATTTTTAAACCACTTGCACCTTTTCACTACATGGTTATAGTTCCCAGTGGCAGAATTATGCTGAGGTAGGGAGTATGAGACAGTTGCTTTATACTTAATTCCTTGAGTGTACGGTATTATCATAACAGTAGTAATACCCACTTCCTGTTGAGACAGAGAATAACTTGAGTAAAAGTAGAATAAGTGTAGCCTTTGCTGTCTTGCCGTGACTGTGTGCGTGTGTGTGCACGCACAGGTGCACACACACAGTAAAAGACAGAAAATCACTTTTGCTTTAAAAAGTGTTGAATGATTCTGCCCTTCTGGAGATAATTAAAATGTGAATTAGTGAATTTAACCCTGCTAAAAACATTGTTGGAGTATACCACATTATACTTGGTTAAGGTGGTGAAAGCGTGGGCCCCTTCGTAGCCATATAGAAAATAGGGGCCGGTGAGCCAGGGTTTGGGGGTTCACTGCAGATGGCCGAGTGTAAATGTGACTCCGATGCTGTGATTCCAATATTAAATGAGAAAAGCATCTTTATTTTGTTTCGTTTTTTAACCAAAAGAAATTTATTTTAGAGATCTGTTTTGGCCAGAATGTGTAGCTATTTCCCCCAACAGATTGGACATTTACCCTCTTGTTGTGTGTCTGGATCTCAGGGTGTTCAGAACCTAAGAAAAGCTGCCTCCTCTGGCTGAAGCCTCACCTGAACTCCTCCCTCGCATCCTGATGGAGGGCCAGGAGCTTATGCTCGTGTCCCGTGTGGTAACGCAGAAGTAAGCAGGGGCCACTGTGTCCTCTAAGCCGTTCTCTGCTGTACGCAACAGTAAGGCTGCTTGCACAAGCGTGTGTGCTGTGCCTTAGTTGACCAGACCTGATTTTGAAATAATGCCTTTTCATGTTTAGCCACAGCTTCAAGGGATATTACGAGAGTCTTACATTTTTTACCCTTCTGCTTTATAGAGTCTGAAGTATGATTGTTCATCTTAAGGTAAATGAGTAGGGCTTTTATAAATATATTCAAAACATTCCCATGGCTCCTACCACATTTCTCTTTCCTAATGATTTATAGTCCCCAGTACAACGAAATGTTTGAAAAACTTTCACCATTGCATCCTTCTGTTACAGCTGTCTGGGTACCCAGGGAAGGGCCTCGCTGAGTCGGGGTGCACCACAGCTGTAGGTCGGCGCCCAATCACGTGGTGCTGCTTCCCGTGTTGCTGGTGGGCCCAGTCTTCTGTGTTAGGACCCAAGTGGAAAGAATGGACATAAGGCTGGGGTTTCCTTCCAGCACGACAGGTGGAGGGTCCACCCTGTGAGCCAGGGACACAGCTGTGCTGCCTTCCTAGTGACTGAGAATGTGCCCCATAAATTGTGAGCATTGGCCATTTCCTTAGTTCTCTCTGATGAATTGACAAGCGCCATCAGCCATTTTTCCTTAGGTAGCTGTAAATTCCTTGCTGTTCTGGGGGAATCATACTATATCCTATGCCCCTGTGCATTGGACACCAGGTACTACATCCTGTGGAGCAGAGTCCATACCTCTGTTCTCCAAGGGCAGATCAGAGAAGGGCAGGAAGTGCCTGCATGTGCCTCAACTAGCTGGCGAGGCAGGGGATCCGGGCCACTGGCAGGTCGCACTTCCTCTTCCTTCACCACTGAAGAAGGTAACTTGCTTGGTGTAAAGTAGATTTAAGCAGTGCTCAGTGCTGGCAGTATTAGTTCGCATATTGTTCAGGCCATACTGTGTATTGTTAAGAAGGCTGCACATCCTTCCCTCAGAAACCAAACATACAGTTCACCTTGGGGTGTGTGCATGCATGTGTGTGTGTGTGCGCACACGCATGTGTGTGCGCAGGCGTGTTTCTCTGTGCGCACACGTGCACATGAATGCCTGTAACCCAAATCTTTTTTCCTTTCCTGTGGCCCAAATCTTTTTGTTTTCCTCTCCTGAATGTGATTATGTTTTTGATAATACCTGTGCAGGGTTGCCTTTTTTATTTATTATCATATATATTATATATGTTTTGCTTTCTTATACTTTAGAGGAAAGTAAAATCTTGGTATTATTGAAATGGTTTTTAAAGAAGTAAATTGTCCAGTTGATAAATGAAAGTCCTGGGACAACATGACGACAATGAGCTCTCCTGCGTGGCTGTGAACCAGTGGCGCTGTTCCCCCGCAGGCAGCCGGGCTGTGCAGCACAGGTCGGGTGCTGCGTATTGTACTGCTTCAGCAGCACAGCTTGACTTGGGGCTTCTGTGAGTACACCTTTGCTGTCTTGCGTAGTCCTTTGAAGGAGACGTATGTGGTCTGTGAGAATTAGAATTTTTTTAGAAGAAAAAAATTGCAAAAGATCTTTCCAAAGATACTGTGCCACAGATCTTTTGTTCTCTGTAATGAGGATTAAATGCTGTTTTTTAAAACATGTAATTGATTTGTTCATCTTCAAATTCTTTTCACAAGCGAATCGAGCTGTTACAATAAAATTAATAAAACTTTAGAGATATCATGGGGGTCAAATCCATGCATTTATTCATTTGCCTGAGAAGATTGATTCTTTATTGTGTGAATTGCTGTCACCAGCCAGGGCTTTCAGGTGGAGCAACGCATCCTTGTGCACCAGAATATCCGTTGGTGAAATGGGAAAGCAGTGCGGTCGGGAGGCGGTCGCCCTCCTGCTGGGCTTCTCAAGGTCATAACCACACAGGTTTATCCGAGATCTGTGGGGTCCAGCACCAAGGTCAGGTGTCCCCAGTGTTTGCTGGCACATGAGTCTGTAAGATGGTGGTGTCGTGAGAAATTGGAAAACTAGACTTTTCTCACTTTGACACCGCTGAAGAAATAGCCTCAGTAGCTTCATGAAGCCAGAAAAGATTCCCCTGAAATCTTTCTGAATTTGAATATTGGTTCCTGGGTCGGGATGTAGCATTGGGTAAATTACGTAACCTGAGTTTGTCCTGGCAGTTGGAACTCATTTGATACAGTGTCAACTAACCAGTAAAAGTGCAGGGGGCACAACGAATGGTATGGGGTGCTTGGCACAGTGCCCTGACATAACATCCTCGGAACTGGTAGCTGCCTTCCTCCCTGGAAACTGCTTATTCCCTGGTGGGCATGGTGGCACACACCTGTAACCCGAGCACTCGGAGGCTGGAGGAGGACTGTGTTTGTGGGCAGCCTGGAATACATAGTTCAAGGCTGGCTGCGCTACACAGACCCTGTCTGGAAAAACAAACCTCCCTTCCTTTCCACCTGGTCTTTATCTTCTTTTCCTCCTTTCTCCGATTGAGTCCTCAGGAATAAACATGAGCTTGCCCTTGGCAAGCTGCAGGAGTCAACAGCCGCTGGGGGGGTGGCGGTGGCGATGCGGAAGGAGTGTGTGCCCCTGTGCAGATGTGCGGGGGAGAGCCTTCCCTGGGATGGGCCTCTGAAGGAGGGGCAGCAGCTCCTTTTGGTCACATCTTTGAGAACTCGGGTAAGTGGGTGTTGTGCAAGAATAGTTAATTGTGCCGGGTCATTTACCCAGACACTGTTGGATGCTGAGATTTTGTAAGATAGGAAGAATGCTCCATGACAGTCCCTGAAAAGATATTTGAGCAATTTTTTTTAATGTATTTAGTACAGGGTCTCATTACATAGCTGTCTCCCAAGAACTGGGATTACAGGCACGTGCCACCACTCCCAGTGTCAATCGCCATCTCAGTGTGCCCCTGCGGGTGGGGCTGGCGTGGCATGCCAGGGTTCGAACCCTGGTTGCTGTGCCTGCCTAAGCAGGCACTTTAGTTTGTTGAGCTATCTAGCTCAGCCCATTGAGCAAATACTAAATTACTTTCTTGGAATAAATTTTTAGAAGTGATTATAAAGTGAAAAGACTCAATTTCTACATTGTTCAGTCTTGATACATAGCTCAAGCTGGGCTTGAACTCAGTGATCCTGCTGCCTCAGACTCCTGAGTGCTGGGATTACAGGCATGGTCACCAGCCCAGCTCCACATACTTCGCTTTGGAAAATTTCAAACATGAAAATCAAACAAATAGTAGTCACATACAAGTTCTAACTAAAAACTCTTAAGTTTAGATAACTTTATTACAATAAAAGACATTGTCATGAATCTCCTTAAAAAGTACCTTGGCTTCTACCATCCCATCGTTCCTGCCACCTCCCCAGGCAGCTCTGCAGCTGCCCTGTCCTGGGTGCCGCCAGTTGCACTGTCGAGGCTCCCCTGATGGCCTCTCCTGATCAACTTTGGCTTGGAGAGCCGGAAGTCACGCAGTGCCCAAGCAGGTGGGTAGAGGGGGTGAGAGGCGGATGTGACACAAGCCTGCCTTTCTGCTGGGTGGCACTTGCAGCAGCATTCAGCAGGTATGGTAGGGTTTGGTTTGTGTTGTGTTGGAATAGACAACGGTTACATCCACGTGGGGAGGTGGTGCATAGCACACTTTCACCTTCGTTGTATTTTTTTTTTTTTTTTTTTGGCAAAACCTGGGATTGAACTCGGGCCCTTGCACTTGCCAGGGAAGTGCTTATTCTGCTGAGCCATCTCCCCAGCCCTTTCGCTGTACTTTTGATCATGGCTGTAAGGACGTGAAAAGAGACTGAGCACTGCTTCACAAGTGGCAGTGTGTCTTAGATTCACTACAGTTTTGGTTAGTCTATGTGTCTACCACCTAGATTCCACATTTACACTTATTCACATTAAATACTAAATATGAATGTTTAATATAATTTAATGAATATATGAAAAAATTAATGAATTTTATAATAGTTTAATAATATAATTTATATTAAATATATATTCATTATAATATGAAAGGTGTGTATGTATTTCTCCCCTAAAAATCTCAGCATGCATGTCACTAGATAAAATAGTAACCACAGCACTATTTTAGCATCTGGGAATATTCTTCAACAGCTATTATTCAGTAACATTCAAGTTACTGCATTTTCCTGCAAACTGTCTCATGGCTTTTTGAACATGGCTCAACTAAGTTTCATACATTGTTTTGTCACTGTATGCTTTATTAAGCAAGATGCTGTCTTTTCCTTCCCACTTTGTAATACAATGTCCCCAACCTGCACGTGTGTCCCCACTGTCTGCCCCCTCCCTGTCCACTGGCCTATGGCTTGGGCAGATCTGGCCGAGCCCTTCATGGGTGGTGGCATGCCACGCTGGAGCCGTGCGCGTGGGGCCATGGCTCTTTGCTGCCGGCATGTGCATAACAGATCTGGTGATAACCAGATGCCTTCCTAAATGCAGGCTTTTGTCTTTCACTTGTCGCTTACTCTCTAGCCATGCACTTGAGGATTCTTGCCAGAATTGTTTATTTCACTAGGAGATGAGAGATGAGAGGACATTTTATAGGCTCTAACTGCCATGCTGCTGGAGGAAAGCTGGTTCATGCTTTGCAGAGAATCTTTTTCTACTACCTTACTCTTCCTGGGTGTTACGCTTGGAAAATGAGGTACATCTTTTCCTCGTGTTTATGTGCAGCACGGGTCTGTATGGCCCCTCCTGGAGGCGATTCTCTGGCGACTGGGGGTGAAGGGTCCCTTTTGCCGAGTCTATAGGATGAGCTCCCCAAGGGAAGGGTTCTGTTAAAACAGTACAAAGGAACAGGTGGTCCATACAGGGAGAGATTACCTTTTTCTTTGGGTTTATATATTCAGGCTTATATATTCTTTTATTAGAATATGTGTTTCTCTCCAAATTAACTTTTGCTTTTCAGTTTTATCGTATTTGAATTTGTTAAGTAAGCAGATTGCTACAACTTTGCGGTAAAGTGACTTTTGGCCCCGCTGTCAGGCACGCTCTACCACTGAATGCTAGCAGCAGCAGCTCTGTGCATAGGTGGTATCTCCTCCGTGTCCCTTAACATCTTTTATTAGCAGAACTTAGACTCACTGGAGCCTGGAGTCCTTGTCAGGGCTGCTGGGAATATGTATTGCCACCATCCAGGCTACTTTTTTTTTTTTTATAAATTTTTTTTTTTAAACTTTTATTTTTTTTTTGTGTGTGTGTGTGTGTGTGTGGCCAGCTCAGCCCACCAGGGGGCGCAGCTGGCTGGCATGTGGTGCTGGGGGATCGAACCGAGATCCCTGTGCTTTGCCAAGCTTGTTCCAAGGAGGTGCTTTAGACCACTGAGCCATCTCTCCAGCCCCCCAGGCTACTTTTAAAAGAATCATTGAGAAGGTTCTTAGATTCCTCAATGCCATTCCAAGCAGCTCTGAAGCGCCATGGTCTTTACCAAAATGTAATCAGAGGTTCCTCTGCCCTCACTGTGGTTATGATTAGGTAATTGTACTGTCTGGTCTGTCCGGTCGTAGGAACAGGACTCTTTCAGCATTTGTGGTTTCCAAGTAGACCACACTCAGCTGGAAGTAAGACTTAAGTGAGACGCCAAAGCTTAGATAATAGAGGCCTTTGCCCTTCTAACAGACTGCGGGGCGGGCCTTGAAACACTTCCCAGATCTCTCTACTTTAGGTTTCAAAGCCCATGATCCTGCTCGGCATGCTGTAAATCTCGCTTCTCTGATCTGGGCCCCATCCTGACATTTCCTTTACCTTATTTCATATGTACGGGGAAGAAACAATGCTAGGCTTACATACCTCTGCTCAACACGCCCGTCCGTTGTCCTTTACCAACAACACAAAAACCTAGACCAGGTGCCTGTGCACAGATCTTTCTACAGGTATCCATGCTAGTAAAAGTGGAAAACCAAATGTGCCCAGTTGAATGGATGACAGAAAATGCTTTTAGTTGTTTTCCTACTTCCCTGTCTTTGAGCCACAATCTGAAGCAGCAGCAGCTATGACTTAGGGCCCCAGACTGCAACTGAGGCCTCCAACTCAGGCCTCTACAGACAGGATTTGCTAGTGGGTTTTTGGCAGAGGTGCCCCCACATAATGCTGTAGAGGAGTCCGGTGCATACCGGACCTTGCTAGCAAACGCTGCACCAGCCAGCTACAGCCCCAGCCTCTGGCGCTTGTTTCTGATGCTGTGGAAAGCCTACTCCTGTACTAGATCATTTTCTATGTGGTAAGCTGTTTTCCTACCATTGTGCACATCATGCAGCTTGGACCAGGCTGGCTGGCCGCCGTCTACTGCGTGGTTCTTCTGTGATCGCCGTTGCCTGCACCTCACAAACATCATCTAAAGTGCTTACAAGAGTTTCCATCTCTACTTTTCTTCCCAAAATACTGAGAAGCAATAACCATGCTCAAAATAAGACATTCCTGCCTGTCACTGAATCAGGGTCCTTATAGGAAGCTCCACTAATCTTTAAAATGTACTACTAGTGCAGTTAAGCAGATGACGATTCTGAATGAATGGAACCACTTCAATATTGGCGGTTTTGTTTTTTGTTTGTATTTTGTGTGTGTGTGGCCAGCTCAGCCCACCAGGGGCGGGGCTGGCTGGCATGTGGTGCTGGGGGATTGAACCGCGGTCCCTGTACTTTGCTTAGCTTAGCTTGTTCTAAGTAGGTGCTTTAGACCACTGAGCCATCT